TAGAAAATGGATGAGCGTCAAAATCGATTTAGAAAATTATGTTTATCTTCGACAGTTATTTGTGGATACAAGATGGGTATTGCAAAAAGTAATAAAAATAGCAGCACACTATAAAATCAGGACGAAAAGTGTGTTTTCAGTGCCACAAGCGAAAATTGGCAGGTTTGTGAAGCACAAGACGCTAAAGCACAATTTTCTCTGCTTACACAGAGGTACACTACATCGTTGTAGCTGCAACGCTGTTCGACCAAAATTCAAACACTGCAAAAATATCAGAAACATAGATCAGCCACCCTATTAGTTTTCTTTGAATATTATTTCTTCTCTTCTCTTTTTGTGTGTCTGGGGGGGGGGGGGGGGGGGGGGGGTTTTTTTTTTTTTTTTTGAAACACTGTGTGCCACCAAAAANTGTTTTTTTGAACCCAGATCTAGATTTGAGCACAGCCAAGTGTGTATCTACATCTTCCTCACTGATATTTTGCACCCTCTGTATCAACAGAGGGGGGGGGGGGGGGGGGGGGGGCGGGGCGAGGTATTATATTTATCTTTCGATACACTGTGAGCCTACCAAAACTGTCGATAAAAAGAGAAATTTACCAAAAAATACTGCATACTACGTACAAACAAATCATCCGAGAACAAGTTTTTTTTATGACATGTTTTATTGATGTTCAACATGATTTTTGCCTTGCAAAAAATATTTTGCTATCGTTGCACCCTTATTACTTATTTTATTAGATTTAAAGCATTATCATATCCATTTTTCAGTAACTTCTTTCTCGAAAATTCTAAATATTTCAAGGCAATTATATGACGTAGCATGAGTGACTGTGGATGTGTGAAGATGGGGAACTCAGAATGATAATAAAACGCTGACTCTCGTACGTAACACACATCAAACATCCGATGTACATTTCACATCTACAACATTCTCACTGTACACATCTGTCATTGTCATGGTTCGAGATTTTTTTTCCTTTCTTTACTTTGCTTGAATCATTCATTTTCATATGGAGCTCATTTATTAAATCAATTCTTTTATTCTTATCGACATATAATCTTTCGAGTTACGCTACGTAATACATTAAAAAGTGCTTTTCGAAATATAGTTCCACCAGCTAATGTGTAAATATAGAACGGCATTCCATTAGTTACATAAGTGAGTAGAAGAAACAAGTTGAAAGCAAAATTGTTAATGGTACTCTGTAATTGTGTTCTTGATTCATTTCTTGTACTGTTTGCGTAGATATTTTGGATAGCTTGTGGTAATGAAAACAGTGTGAGAAGAATAACTTGAACCAGTAGCATAGTAAGCAGATGTCGATCGGTTTTTTTCCACTGTGATGTTTGTCCGTTGATAGTTGACTCCTGCATCGTTAATGAAAGACTCATAGGTTGTATACGTCGCTGAGCACTGTGACGTATATTCAAAATAGTCATAAAACCAAAAATAAACATGAGCAACGAAGGAGTAAGAATGCTAACTATAGTAAATGTAAAATCAATTAATAGACGGCACCCTATTGTTTTTCCATAACATTTCAATGGAGCATTGGTGAGATTGGCTTCATAGCAGTAGAATATTTGTGCATAGACCAGGCTTGATAGAAGCATAATAAGAAGTGTGCCACGTTGAGCATTCTTCAATGTACTCATGTGACGACGATTGGCATCGATACTTGATGAAAACCATCTGTCAACTGTGGCCAACATGATTAGCCACGAAGCAATTGTTCTTGAATCAAACAGAACAAAGATTCGAAATTTACAGAGCCATGGAACTGTGTCGGTTAAATCTGCTGACCAACCCGCCATTAACCGAACGGCAACACCAGCAACGAGAGTGATGAGACTGGTAATTGATGATGCAAGGAAAAGCCATGAACATGGATTTTTACGAAGAGTTTTTTGAGATAAAACGAGACAATTGAAAATGTTGCCCACAGTACCGAAAAGAAGAATGATAATCGATAAATAACGATTGATCTGAGCTGAGATCAAATTCAAACTTAGAATGAGATTTACATCGGATGAGTTTGATGACATTTCGGTGCCTAATCAATAGAGAAAATAATAGCATTAATGATTGTATAAGAGTGAATTTTTTGAAATGTCATTTTTGTCTTGTTTACCATAGATATATTGTTAGTAGTAGATGCTGAGCAACACACTGTGACCTATGAGATGAATCTAACAAATGCACTGGCGTACAGGTAATGACTTCCAGAAAGATTCTCTGCGATTCAGTTATTTAACGAAACAATTTTAATTGATTAAAATAAATCTATCTTTAATGCAAGAAAACCAGAAGAAATCTACTTTTTCTCCGACATTTTGTCAGAGCCATTGTAAGTGAAGCATATTTTCACAAACAACAAACTTTCAACAGAATATCTAGAGAAGCCGGAGACACGTCACTCCTTTATTTCCTCATTTTAGTTGCTTCGAATAACAGACAATTCTAATGAAGTCAAAGACATACCAAGGAAATATTCTTGTCATGTGTGTCTCTACATGGTTAGTATTCATCGTAAGAGTTGATGTGACAAATGTACAATTCAAAGGATATGAGAAATCTATATGATCGAGTTTCTTTGCTATATAAACGAGTTTCTACTTGGTATTGTCGAATTCTTTAACATCAGTTGAAATGAATTAGAAGAGAACAATGGAGAATAAAAACGTGAAGATTCGTTTGTTGTTGTTGTTTTTATCAATACGAAATCGATCTGATCATTTATCAGCTACTTTCAAGTGTAGATATATTTCTTGAAATAAAAGTAAAGAATTTGGTGGATGAGGTTTTAAAAACTGCATAGGCAGTCTGCAGTGATGGTAGATATTTGCTGACAGAATTTTTATTACTTGCATTTACATATGAGAAATTCAAATGAAACTTAGCTTACTTGGAGTATAGTTAAGTCAGCAATTGAATCACAAAAGTCGATGATATATGATCATGTTGAGTGAGAGCGGACCATAGAAAATGTTTGCATATGAAAAAGAAATAGTGATGATTAAATTTTAAATAAAAAGCACTGCGCATAAAGCTTGTCAGAAAGAAGAGAGAAAGATGTCGAATAAGTAGGCTGGTCAAAACATCAACCAATCTGCGTTGAATGTGAGCGTTGATGACGTTAAACAAGAATAAACTGTGATTAATTCTATTCATGCACAAAAAGCGTAGATAAGTACAACCTTGTGTGTGTTGAATAGCCGTGAGATTCACAAGATAACGAGTTAATTATGTTCAGTGTAGTCTAAAAAAAGCAAGTGAATTGCATTAATAAAAAACGCCTTAGAGTTAGTGTTTGTTTAACAAAATGAGAATACTGTTCTCGACAACTTTTTCATTTTAGATGCCTCAACACATTTTAAAACACGATATTATATTAGCGTCATTGATGCTTTCGATAAGAACACATTCGACTTTTTTTTAAAATTTTTCTGTATTAAAATCTTCCCTTACACGTATGCCTTAAGAACACAAAATGATTATGACATCTCTAGAAAAATAATAATTATGACTTCTCACTATTGTAGATCAAGAGAGCGTGAAATATAATCATTTTGAAAAAGATCTCTTTTTCTTTTCCTACTACAGTAGCTAGAATATTTTGGACCTTTGATGAAAAAAGAATCTTCGATGCTTATTTTAACAATTTTTTAAAATGATGAAAAGCTACTGTCCATGTTTTTGTCATGTATGAATGTTGATGAATATCTAGGATCTCTCATTTAGAATAGCTGAGGATCTTGACAAATCAAGCTTCACATATCGATTGAAACCAACAAAAAAAACCCGTAAAAATAGATCCCCACGTTGATAAATAAAAAAAAACTACATTGTCAAATTTCTTTCGCATTTACTTTAGTTGTTATGATGTTTTACATATGTGAAATTAGTAGTTCGTCTGCTTGCTGAATTATACACATGGCTTCTTGAGAATTTCTCCGGATGGACTCTCGTATTTTCGGATGTGGAAAACGCAGAGTGAACTTTTTTTCAACAATTAATTATTGAACATCGATCCTATTTGTAAGAGAAAAACTTTAGAATTTCCAGTTCTATAAGGGTAAGAAGTGAGAGAAAATTGAATATATTGTCGTATGAGGTTATTTTCGAATATAAAAGTCAAATTATCCAACATGATCTACTAGGATCATCATAGATATTTGTTAACTTCTAGGAATGAAAAGTTTCGAGCATTCTTTTACAACCATATATTCCAGCAGATTACTCCAAGTGGCAATGCTGCTGTCGGTGTGCGGATGCAAGCATAAGTGGGGATCATAGTATCATGGGGAAAGTCAGCGTCATGTTTGAGTGAAAATAACAGCCTTCTTTTCATCGGCACACCCTCTATTCTTTTGCTATCTTGGTTTCTCATATCTATCCTCTGTTTGTGGATGATACATTCAATTTTTCTTTTTATCATGGATTATTTTACTCTGTCGTAATTTTTGGGGCGTAATGACTGAATTCACAGGGCTTCCGTGTAATACTAAGATTTTCTGTAAGTTTTGCTGAATCACAAATGACTATTGGAACTATTTTATGAATTTTATTCATTTCTTAGAATGCTTAACTTTGTATTTGTACAGTTTATAATGCATTTCACTTACAACTAAGAAGAAAAGAGTCATAGCTGTGAAATATATATTCCTATGTTAAGTCTATTACTCTTGTCATTAATATTATTAGTATTCTCACTGTATTGACTACATGCGGTACATAGATGAATTCTTAAAATTAGAAAAAAGTTCAGAACAAACTAAGTAGTCAAAATTATGAATTGAATGTCCGTTGTAAAATATCGGTTGAAAGTGATAATCAAATGATGGGTACATAATGCAAGCATATAGTATCTATTAACCCTTTGAGTGCGGGCAACTCAAATTCATGTTCTCAAAATTGTGGACTTTGAGTAGCTTCTATAAATATGATCTATTGATTATTGAATGAAATGAATAGATATTTGTCTGATTAAGATTAATTACGTTTATTGATGATTACTAGAGAAAAAAATGGTGTCTCGTTGAATGGTAATCATTCAAAATTGATAACTGTATGAAAGATGATGATGAAATGTGAGAATTTAACTGAATTTAGAATATGAGAATTAATTAAAAAACTACTTGATTTAGACAAAGGTTTACAAAATAAAGTCCCATTAAACACAATAAATAGAAAAATTTACATGTTTTTTTATACTTTATTAATAAAAAAGCAAAAAGTTCCTGTAGTGTATAAATTTCACTTTTTCTGACTGCTCTATTTCATCTGCTGTTCATTAGAAATAGAGATCAAGTGAATTCTTTTTTTAAGCCATTCTAGGGTTCTCTATCTGTTTTCTTTAGTTGAAGTTGAGTCTGGTTGCTTATTTATTTGACAAGGTAGTTTGTCGTCTGTTTTGCTTCTGTTTCCATAATATCAACATGAACAGCAAAATCAACACAAATAAAAAATTAATTGGTGCATTATCAAAAAGTCCTATCCAAAATTTACCAAGAATGATTATGTGCCATAAACCATCAATGGTACTATTTAGACAACTAATTTAACTTTTAATTTCATAAGAGCTTATAACCTAATATGATACTCTAATATCATAATTATGGGACACAAATGTGTTGCTACGTGCCACCTTTGTTTTTAAAAATCGTCCACATCAACATTCTGATCTTGTGAATAAATATTTTAAAACAAAACATTTTTTTCAAAAAATCTTATTAATCATTCAATGTCTTCATGTCTCCGAAATGAAAAGAATACATCGAAATATTTAACTGATACAGAAAAACTCCATTTAATACTTATCGAATGTCTTCATGTGCGACAAATAAAAAAAGATACATCCGAAATTTAAATTCTATTGAACAAAATAAATATAGTCAACTAATTATTGTTTATATATAGAATAGCAAACTAAACACATCTCTATTATATAGTGAACTTAAACTTGAGGAGTATATAGGATGCTCATAGATAGTGCGGTCCCTAAGTTTTCTAAAATAAACTCATTCAAATTTTGTTTTTAAACTCAATTCGATACAGATATAAATAACTTCTTTACAACCGGAAAATGTCTTCTTGATCTTCAGACTCTCGGAGGCACCTTGAGGGAAGGGGGAGAGACTATCGAAATATGATTGCAGGAAGGAAGTCTGTTATTTTAATTATTTCTTTTCCAAATTTGTATTCCAAGTATTCCAGTTTCATTTATGCATGAAACTCAAGAAGCATCTATAAATATATCATGTTCAGTTCAAAATTAATTTTTTTGCATATCCTCGAACCTCCTATAGAGATCCGGAGGCCAAAAATCCTTTTCATGTTTATGAAGGAGTTATTTATATCAGTTCATTAGGGATGCTGTGATGATAATTGATACGTAAAAATTTTTTATAGGATCGTTGAGTATTCTTACAATATCGTCAGTATAGTAGCTTCTTCATATAGGAGAATAGACTATTCAAGGGAACAATGTTGCAAGTTGACAATAAATCCTTGCTGTTCGGAAAGATGTTATGCCTAAAACATATAGAGCTCAATAGTGTGCAAATTTTTGAGAAAAATTTCATGTTGGTATTCACTTGTTCTGTCACATAGAGTTGCACAAACTGAAATATTATACAATCAAGAAATAGCCTAATTCTTAAAAAAAGAGATCATTTTTAAGTATGAAAGAAGCAACGATGAAAACTAATCATTGTAGAAGCCAAGTATGAACTTCAAAAAACATAGGGAAAAGAAATGTTCAGATTAATTATGAGTGAGAAAAAATTTCGATATCAAACAATGTCAAAAAAAGCTCTCGTAACATGCTTCTTTTTGTTTATTTTTTTTTTCTTCTAAAGTCTGAAGAAAAACTTTTCTTAATAAATCAAAGAGATAAAATCATAGTTCTTACAAAACTTTATCGACTTTCATACTTAAGAAGGTTTCTCAATGATTCTTCAACAGTAAATGAAATGTATTATATATGTTTTAGTTTTGACAGAAAGTACTATTTTGTGTGAGAAAGATAGGACATTGAGAAAAATCCCCTATTCAGAACTAAAAACATGTTAGTAAAGATTAAAACTCATTTGATTTTGTAGAGAATGGTATATTATTTCAGAAAATGTGTTTTAGAGACAGAAGGAAAATTCATTTAGATAGTTTCTGGAAACTAGTGCATAACTCAGATGACCTATTTTAACAAATTAATGAAGAACTTGTAAAGCTCTAATGTCAAACTAGATGACAACATAATTTATCATACCTCATCTGAAATAATGAAAAAAACTCTTCTTGTTTATATACTTATATAACTTTAAACGCAGTCATTTATAGAGAAAAAGAAATGTTTAATGCGAGAGATGTTTGAAGAGAACAGAAATTGCAAGACATTTGTTGGGAGAGAGTGTGCGTTTGGTATTGAACTTTTTTTCCACTCAAAGTGATTCTAAAAATACTTTGTTTCCTATTTTTTTTTGAATTTTAACGTTTGCTTATCCATCAGAAAGAGAATAAATTCTCTACAATATTTCGAAAGGAAAAATCATCGATAGAGAATTCGGCAATTACTTTTGCATCACAGGAGATTAACAATAAGCAAGTTTTTTTTTTTGTTTATACATTAATGATATTTTCTATTACACGACTAAAGTACATTAATTCAATCTCAACTCAATTCTAAACTCACGTATTAAATACATATTTAAAGCCTTTTTATTGTTATTTTTCAAGCGAAAACATGGTGAATGTAGACCTGTTCTTTATTGCTTTTCATATTCTTGACTTAAGAAATATGAATGAACTCAGTCGTAAATCAAAGAAAACCAAATTACTGAATCCATAATGAATCTACAATCAGGCAATGAATTCAAAGACGATTCATATAAAGTTGTTTTTTATTTTTATTTTTTTTCTAATGATCTCGTACTTCAAAAGGTTAATATAACTATAGTGTTTTGGTCTCAAATTTAAGTTGATGAGTGATTTGTTGCATCATTTCTTCTGAAACGAATTTTATTATGTTACTATCATACTTTGATGCTTGGTAGAAGATACTATAAGTAATAACTTTTCAAATTTAAATATTTGACATAGATGACAGCAAATTTATACAGTAAAATATTATCTTTAATGTCTATCAAGCATTCTAATCATCAAACCCAGAACTGCTGTTGCTGATATTTGTGTTAAATGAAAATTATTCAAAGTTATCGACTTCTTCTGTACTGATATCAATATCTTCATCTTTTTTCTCGACTTCTCAGTAATTATTTACATGCTTAATATGATCTATAGGTTTTTTTGACCAAGAATCATCGTTGATAAACTGGTCCAGCATCTATGAATAAGTATACTTTTTTTTCTGACTCGCTCACCTGATAGTCATCACGCTTAACATCATCGTTAGGAAAAATTCAGTTTCTAAATCAGTCTCCATTTCTTTTATAACTATGCAAAAGCAAAATATTCAAAAACAAGAAAAAATAAAAGAAATACGCCACAGTAATGTAAAAAAAAGATCAAGATAAGGCAAATATTACGAGTGCATAAAACGAGTTATTACTTTTATTTATTAACAATTGTCGTCTTTTAAAATATAGTTGACTGTGGCAGTTCGAGATCTTGATATGATAATAACCTTAATACATAATAAATACATTTTATTACATACAAAAGATAGAAAAGAGCAAAAAACTTCAACCTGAATTTGAGATCAAAGGAAAATAGATTCCAAATAATTAAATTGAAACATCCATTCATAATTTATTTTGTTCAGTATCCATTTTATTAGAGATCTATCACACTAATAATTGTTATGTTTTCTTTTGTGTCTCAGATATCATCGTTCAATGAGACTAATGACAAAAATTGAAGAGAAAGAGATAAATTTGTAATAGGTGTGAAGTCTATTCGTGTGAATCATAACTAAATGAGTATAATATTGAAATATTCAGCCTTGATGTGTGCTTTATTTATTAAGATATATGTTCCCATAATTAAAGACGTAACAGCTGCATATCGACTAATTGATTCGTCTTCCATCGCTCAGCTTCTTTCATATGTACGAAAGAATTCGAGATCATTTTTTTTTCGGTACGAGTTGAGATCATTAAAACATTATCTTTTTCCACCATACAGATCTGTAATTATTCTAATTCAAGTTAGGCAAGCTGAATTACAAACATTCAATGGAATGGAGCTTTAACATACATGCTAGTTGCAGCAAATGAAACATTCAAACAACTAGCTTTTACAAAAAGAGTGGATCTATAAGCCTTCATCTTGTAAAATAAGAGGTCATGTTCAATTGTTTGAATTAATTCTTGCGAATCGTTCATCTGGCAAATATCAAACATTTAATCATGACTAATAACGAGAAATTTTACTGGATCAATTTGAATTTGTGTTTCTCTTATTTGTTTAACTTAACTGTTGAAAATAGAGATTATTTTTTCTAACAAGTAGAAATTAAATTCTGTTGTTTATTAGAAACCTACAACGATACTAATCAGCATTTGCTCTATTACTGTTTCAAAGCAGATATTATATAAAAAAGACCTAAAGCACATTAAGTAAGAATTTACATCTCACGCAGTAATTAAACCTGAACAGTGCTCTATTTTGATTTTCATAAGGATAGATTTTCCAACAAATAAATATTCAAACTTTGTCTTCCATATAATGATTGATTTTCTGTATGATTATTAACGAATCCATAATCGAATATCACGATTGTAAAGAAAATCTCTTTCGATAAAAATTGTAGACGGTAGATGACATTGTAGCCAGCGAATAAGATCATCGGATTTTGGCGACAATGTCTTACTTCCATGCTGATCATCTTGACATTGAACATTTAATGCTCGCAGTTTAATCATTCTGTTGATAAGAAATAGTATACTTCTTCGATGTCGAACTCCAATAGAAAGTACTTCACATTGTTTAACAAATGAAGAACGACTTAATGCAATACATTGATCATTATTAAAGAAAAAACATTGATCAAATGAATTATTTTCTTTGAAATTTAGTCGACGAATCGATAAACTATTGTTATAAAATAATGGCAATTTGGAACTTGACGTAAAATTCAAATTAAAACTCAGTGAATATAAATGTGGCGTTCGATCAAATAATTCTTGTAAATGTGATTGATTAATTTTCTCAGTAGATAATTTAATATTAAGTGAAGTTAATCGATTAAGTTTGGGAATAATCGACCAAAAATGTTCATCTAATGGAAGTTCTACAATAAGTTTACGAATATTAGAAAAATGTAAAAGTGGTGATTGATTAAATAAAGAAGGTGTAACAGATGTAATTTTTACAGTTTTTTCCAATGAACAAGGAACAATCGTTGGATTATCGTCTGATAGTGAGAATGATCGTGTTTTTCTTGAACCGAATCGAAAAATTTTATTAATTTTTGATGAAGAATTTGTTTGATTTTTGTTCGATTTCTCATAACTTTCTATTTTCTTCGATGGAATATTATGTTCAGTTAAATAAGAATTATATGATAAACAATGAACCCGAGAAGATGACCAATCATTACGATCATAAGGACATGTTGATCTACACCATAGATGATTATTAGTAATAGATAAATGTGAGAAAGTATATGGTAAAGTATAAAATAAAATACATTGATTATATTTATTTTCTGAGTTCCAATGACATCGAACAAACCATTGATGTTCATCAGTCCAAAATTGATTTTGAAATGAATCAAGTATGTAATTAGCTCGTTCTTTAACACTATCAAAATTATTAAAATAAATAGCCATTTTAAATTGAAAAATTTTAAGTTTCGGTAAAAAATTACTAATAAAACATCTCCATCGATGTCCATCCATAAATATAAATGGTGTTTCAATTGTTAAATGATATAAATTCGGCATTGCACTAAATACAGAAATTCCTCGGGGTATATGATTCATAAAAAAGAGATTTAATGGACTGAAGCGTTCATCATTGAGTTCAAATTTAATAATCGAGGGAAAATGTTCAACTACATGAATATCTTCATCATCCAAATGTGTATAAATTTGAACATGCCGTAAATGAGGTTTGTGCTTCATGAATTGATATATATCGTTCATACTCATACAAAAATGTTTAATAGACATATATTCCATAGATAAAGAGATTGATCTTGTTGAAATAAAATTAATTCTCCCATTAGAAGTGTCATGTAATTTTAAATGAATTAATTTCGGTAATTTCCAAATATTGTCAATCAAGTAGAAATGATCTTCATATAATGAAGACAAGCAACATTCAATAAAGTTCAGATGAGTTAGATTTGAAAGATGAACTAGATCAATTACAATATGTTGAATGATCGATTGTGAATTAATTTGATAAAATGAAAGTGATTGTAAATGAAGAAATTGAGAAAGAATGAAATTATAAGAAAAAAATAATTCAATTTGTTGTGGAGTTTCATCATCATTCGAAAGCGTGAGTGAAATAGTTTTATTCATGATTGATGGTAGATGATGTTGACAAATAAAATTAAAATCATTTTTGGATATTGATCGAAAATCAAGATAACGAAGATTTCGCAAATAGATGACGAGAAGTTTATCGAAACGTGAATTAAGACATCGAAATGCTCGTAATAGTTGAGTAATATTAAAACATTCAAACAGTTCGAGTAGTAATTCATTAGCTAATTCTTCAAATATCATTGTTCTCTGTTTTTCTTTCTAAAATGTAATAGAGATATGACTTCTATTCAAGAATAAATATATCTATATTTGCTAATAATATAATGCATTTGTTAAAGAATATCACGGCTTCATTCGTGTTATTTAATATCCCTCTTCTCTCCCATGTTGATCTTTCATTTCTCGTCATCTGCTTGTTAATGACACATTCGTCTATTTTTATTGCTGAGGTCATTTGAAAATACTATGTGTAAAATTGCCAGTGCACAGTTGTAAACCGGACGGGGTGGTTTTCACCAGTTTTGTAGAACTCACGCAATTTTTGAAGAAAATAATAATTAATGGAAGTTTAAATCAAGATTTTGAAGCTTTCCCACTCCTAGGCTCTATCAATCAGAGTTAAAAACTACGCCCCACCCCCCGTTCCCACTTACTACAGACCATACTCTCTGTAAAAAAAATGTCAGAACATGCTGAATTTTCAAAAGTTCATTCATTTATTAAAAAGCCGCCCAAGATTCTCGATGCTTTAAAGAACCTAGTCGAATGGAAAATGGTTCCAGTGCAAGTCACTTGAACTAAGTTGAATATTTTCTTAAACAGGACCTAAATAACGTAAATTTGGATTAGCTTTTCTTATCTAATATAATAATAAAACACATGATGTGGATGTGAGTGTGATTGTGGCGGTGGTAGTGGTAGTGGTTTTCGAGATAGAAGAAAAAAGTTCAAGATAAAATTAGCTTTTGCTAGAGCCTTACAAGGTTCATCATGGTACTTTTTCGTTTTAGAGAGGAGTTGAGTTCTTCATATGTCAAAGGTTTCAAATCAAAATTCAAAAGGACGAAGTTTCCTAAAATCTGAGCTCCTTCCCTACAGAAATCGCTAGAAAATGGACATATTAAAAACTCAATAGGTTAATCAAACATGAGTAAGAATCAAATTCTTTCAAGATTTTATTAGAACACAATAAAGTATCCATAGACAAAAAGTTTACTGTAACTAGCAGGGTGAAAATATTTGAGTGTTTTTCCTTTGTCGCATATAATGTGGGTGTAGATGAATTGAAATATCAGCACAATGAATAAATATAATTGTTTGAAAATGAACTCTAGTAATTTCCTTGTTTAGAAATAATTCCATTGAAAGATCTTTGGTTCGGTCCATAATTATCCTATTAATCTCATGATCATAATATCCATAGATCTTGATGGGAAGGGGTTGGGATACCCTAGCCCCAATCTTGCGATTCTAAAAACTACAAAGAGCCTTGATCATCCTCAATCGAAAGACAAGGTAAATAGTTTGTAATCTAGTTCGATCGGATAATTTTTCACGTATTCACCTTGATTGTAAATTTCGTTTTTATTTTAATTCAACTAAAAGAAAAATTTATTCACTGTCTTACTACAATGCTAATCAACATTTATTTTTTTAACACTAGAAAAAAAATTCTGTTTATATTTTTCATATTGTTTCAAACGACATCTTCCATATCTAATATAATCGAATTTTTTCATTGATTCAGGACTTAGTAAAGCTTCTAAAAATGCCAATAATGACCAATAAAGATGTATAGGTGCACGTAAACAATCACCTAAATCACATAATTCATCAATAGTCATCTGTTTTTCAAATTTATCATTTAAAAATAAAGCATTTGATAAATATATTTCTAACCATTGTTTTTGTTTGTCACATTGTGGATATGTATTATCATAATCTGGTTCTTCATTATTGGAACCAGCATATTCAATAAAATGATTAATTATATCAAATAGCTAAAAATTTCTTGCACAATGTTCAAAATCAATTAATGATATTTTATTATTTTTCTTTTCATCGCATAAAAAATTAAAACATTGAGTATGATTATGACAAACAACATTTGATAGATTTGACCATTGAGAACTTTTGTCATCAATTATTTTTTCAATTTTATTAATATCTCCAGTTATTTTTAACCAAGGTATATGATTTAAATGTGAACTTGATGAAAGTTTTATTTATTTATATAATTCTTCATTGGTACCACTTAATAAATTAATGTATAATGTCGTAATTTTTCTACTATTTGATCTTTTGCTTTTTTATCTATTAATGGCATTGAATGAAATTCAGCTAATTTTCAAGCAATTAATAATCTAATTCGAAAAACAACAATTCTGTATATATGTTAAATACAATGAAAATAAATAAAAAACTCGTTAGTACAGTTGATTCGAAGCTGAAATGTGAAACTCACATATTCTATAGAATGAAAGAATATATTTGCTTATTACTAGTGATCAATATGATTCACAAAATATCACATATTTTTTTATATCAATTTCGATATAATTAAACTTATATGAATTCTTCAATGTATAAAACCAAATGGAACGTTGCTTCGTTTATAGTAAAAAAATTCATTTTCTTTTTTTCATCGAATAGTAACACTATTGTTTTCATGCAATCATAAAGAACAAAAAAACATACGACGACAGTCAAAAGAGATCCACTAATAAATGACTATAATGATATTTCTTACAGATTGAAACAATTACAGATGGATACTGAAACACTAAGTACAATAAGAGAAGAATACTGCCTCGCTATTAGTAGTGCACAGGTTATTGCCTTAATTCTACACTCTTTCCTTTGCTTGCTTCTCGTTTTTGCTTTTAAAACTTCTATCCATGTTGTCCACTATGCAAACTTCTTATTTTTGTATGCATAAATACAAGTGACATCAGTATTAAATTGATTGATTTAACTTGTAGTTAATATGAAAATGTACTCGGGGACCTATAGCTCTGATTGCTAAAGTCTGTAATGGAGAAGAAGATATCGAGAAGATGCAAAGCTTCAATTTAAAATTCATCACTATTTTCTTCAAAAATATCTGTGAGTTGCACAAAAATCAACTTACGCTTTTTCTTCATCACCATTTGAAACAGGACTTCCAGGTAAATATTCATAGATAAATCCATTATTAAATGTTAACACAATTGAAGGAGAAATATGAAATTGAGCTAAATGAATCATATATTGAATTTCAGCTTGACGATCAACAATTAAATCAGAATTTTTTCCATAAATATTGACAATAACACCAGTATTTTCACGTAAATATATAGCAAAAAAGTATATTTGAAAGATCATCAGTAAGTTTTTCAATAGCTAATGATAAGTTTGATTTCATCCAACTTTGCTTTAGTGAATTTGATACAAAATTGAATACAGTTGATTCAATGTCTTTCTCATTTGGATCAAAATTAATATTTTCGTGCGACATCGATGAAAGCGTGATAAATTGTTATTTCTTTTTCTTCTGCTTCAATGCAATCGATCAGGTGAATTAACTATACGAATAAGTCTAACCAGGTCATGAAAGACTTTTCTTTTTCTCACCATTCTTCCTGTGTAGAAAGCAAAAAAAGAAGCACTATGTGTTCTGAGTATATACATATTCGAAGAAAAACAAATAGTCATATGACCATGCACCCGAAAAAATTTTTTAATATTGATAAGGAGAAAAGTCTTTTCTATTTATTAAGTCATTAGCTTCTGTACGACAGAGCACTGATTTAATAAGCATATTTTGTTTTACAGAGAACGAATTTTAAATAATATTGTTTCATAATAGAATTCTGCAGATATCAACAGAAAGAAGCGAACTTGAAAATAGCTAAGAGTAAACTAAACTATGTAGAAAATTGTGAGATCATGCTTTCTTCAATTAGATACTTTTACCTTAAAAATTGTGTCTTGGATTGTATATCAAATGTTCTGTTCGTTATCAAAAATAGAATACAGGCTGTGTCGACTTTCGAAAGATTCAGTAGTCTCACAGCTAAAAGTTGAATACAACTATTGAAGATCTCTTCAGGTATTCAGATATCTCGATAGAGATATCTTGTATGTGTTTCCACGAATAGCTTAATATTTCAATTTCAGGATTTTTGATATAAGATGTCCATTCAAAGAATTCAAATTTCAGGTTAGACGCATATGTTTAAATCATGTAAAAGAATAAAAATTTTCTGTACTGAGTCGTGACAAGCGTAAAATCAGTGCTTAGTTTTACTACACTTCCTAATTTTTAACACGCGTACGAACTCTAAATTTTAGGAATTAAAAGCTTAAAGGGGGACTTCATTTTTGAGTCACGAGATTTCTATTCAAAGTTAAAGAGCCTCTTGATGATTGTTTTCTCACAAGAAAATTGAAGCGTTCGCTCGTATAAGCGCTTGTCTTTTCATACACCAAATTGATAATGAAAATTCTTGTTTTGAATTGTGGCTCATATCATTTATTCGCTATTAATGATATTGAAGAAGCAGCAAATATCAACTCTAATTTCTTTTTCGTCATTACAAAAATAGAATGTCATGCTAATTGTGACTCAGATTGTATTACAAAATTATTTTCTGGTGGGTTTGAACATTTATAGATATGAGCAATATTGGTGCTAATACAGTAATATTGACGCAGCAGCTTTGTCAAACTACGCATCTTTTGTGCGTTTACTTATAATCTTCAACGAACTCTAATGAAATAAGAACATTTATCCTTTCGCAAACAATACTATTGATTTGAACATTATATATGCGAAATAGTATAGATGTGCCAGTCCTTCGATGAACATCGGTACTAGTGTAGTTAGTGTGTTATTGAACGCCAATTTCAGTGACGTCGATGATTAGTAACATATAAAGGTTAGTTCAAAATAATTCCCAACATGAACATATTTCCATGTTTTTTTATTTGGATATTTTTTGTACAAAAGTTGCATGAATACAAGTTCTTATCTCTTTTGGAAATCCAAAAGTAAGCTAAAGCAACATAATTATGCTAACTTTCAGATCACTTCAAGGGAGATCATTAATGCAAATTTTTCAGCTCGAACAAATCATCAAAATATATGATTTCGACATTTCTAGACACAATCTCTATTCAAACGATTTATTATTCAGTGAACAGTAAAAAGCGAGCACAATTCATCATGTTATGCTCACTTTTGAAATAACTCGCGAAGATAGCCTCAGAGATATTGAAATTGAGAAGCCGAGATTTCCAATATTTCAAGAAATCTTTCGGAGAAAAGCATAATTTAATACATACTATGCGAAACTGAAACTTCTGACTCCAACATTTCTTCAAAATGCTAGTCAGTACAAATTATTTATCTCGAAAAAGCTTTGGTAAAAGTTCATAAAAAAAATCCTCATTTTCTCAAAATAAGTACCTTCCGACTGAACTACTCTAACCCAACAACTTTTATCTATGTATATATTGCAGATTTCAACTTCTCGCTCTTAGGCGGCATTTCAATATTATCAACAGTTTATACAATATGATTATGCCTAGTTACTGTTTGTCAGTTCATTCGAAGTTCATCACAAATACGATAGATTTCCACATTTTAGAGCGCATGCATCTCTGTTCAGCTAAAATTCAGCAGAGTTCAAATGATGGATGTTTTCATAATATACGAAATCCATTTCAAATTCTAAAAACGTTACTGGAAACCTATAGGAATTTTGTCGACAATTAACGATGAGGGTTTCTACCAGTGTCGACAGCTGAACATCATCGAGTATTCATCCGAATCTGTCGATCAGGTTCATAAGTGATTTCCTAACTTAGATATTCCTCGGATGCTATCAGATGATCGAATCTCATGCTATCCGATTCAATTCATTTCTTTGAGAATGTTCTTTCGTCAGAAATATATATGTTGACAATAATGATTGACTTTTGCGTACAAGACAATGCCGTCTATATACTATTTCTTGATTATAAAGACTTTATTGTTAAATATATAAAAACATAAAGCGTAATATGCTTAATACTGTATATTGTTAATAAATGCAATAGATTAGGGTTTTAGCGTGTAGAGGGCTTCGAAAATAATCCGTCTTTTATGTCAGAATGAATTGGAAGAAATAATTTAGGCAGACATTGTACATGTCTGAAGATTTGCGTCCCAATTTTGCTGAATAAGATAGTACTGTCCATTAGCAGCAATATTGTAGTAAGATCCGTTTCCAAATGGATAAATAGTTCCATATGTCCAGGCGCTAAAATTACACAACACAATCAAATACATTTTTAATATATTAATAGTCTGGATATAATCTCGGAAATCAGTATTGCATTTTGTTTCAAATAATACGATGAGAGTATTTATTTATTGGAGGAAAATTAAACTCGCCTAGAAGAACCCGCATGTTTATTCAATTTTGGTTTCGTAAAACTTGCCGCCTAATCGAATAATGTTTCTACAGATTTTCATTTCCTTCGTAGTTAAAACAATCGATAGGTTGCTTTCTATTGATTCACGTGCATACATATGAACTGTTCGAATGAAGAAAAACCTAGTATGGGCATAAAAGTAGGTAGGAATTCATGTAGCTGACAGCTCTCGGCCTGAATATATCGCAAATATTGTCATACGATAGTTTATCAGACTTCGTAAGCGAAAGGGAATATTTGATTTGGTTTCGAAGAAAGGGATGGGAATGCAAAATACTACTAATTGGTCCACTGACTGTTATTCGATTTAGGATCTTAGATCAGACAAAACAATCAATTCCGACACATGGTGAAGGTTTTGCCGCTACGCTTGATATATTTTGGATGTTATGTTACAGAACTTTATCTCCATAATCTCCAGTATCGCTATGATTTTTTGCCGAATATGACTATATGAAAGCTGATCTGTATGCATGTTTTGTGTCAGCTAATACTTCGAGATTTTCTCGTTGAAACTAGATAATAGATAGACCATGAGAATAGCGACATACGTAGTCGAGATTATCAAGTTTGGTTATTTAGTTAAATTCGGAACAATTGTCATATCATCGTAAAACAGCATAACAAGTAACCAAATTTCTGCATTGTTTGCGAAATATTTCAACAACAACGAAATGTCTACTCCTGATTTTTCAATATAGCTAGGGAACAGATTAGTATTGAAAATACCATAACACAGTAAAGACTAATAGAATGGTCACTGCCGAAATGCTCAAATGTATTCTTGCTAACGCATCACTTCTGTTTTTTTTTAGTCAATATTTAGTCTATTTCACTCGAATGGAGTGGGTTTGAGAGAAAAAAATATGATAAAGCAGTGGTCTCTTGTCCATCGGATGGGGAAGTGATCTGTGATGGTTTAGCGCTTAAGGCATCTGCCTGATCACCGGAAGGCGTGGATGTCGGTAGATAGGTATTATCTACAGGTATACTCATCTATCAATGCACAGTTACTTAATATTGTAGATTCACAACAGTTATTGGAACTCCTTCCTATAAGATTCAATTAGTTTATTGGCTAATAGTTGCTACTTGATGAATCATTCATGAATATCGAACTATTAATTAAAACTTATTAATTTTCATGGCTAAGTTTAATTCATTATTAATCCGAAACAACGGGAGAAACATGTCTACTCAGTTTCTTCGAACTCTAATCGTTACACTCTTTGTCTAAATCGAACTTTCAACATGGATAGTGGTCGTTGAATTAAAACACAAAGAGAGTTGTGGTGAGAAAACTTTCTTTTACTGAGTTGTTGCTGATATAAAAGTACTATTATCCATTTCTGAAAATAAGTCGCTTGGGCAGAGTTCTTATAACTTTTGAAGGGAAAGTCATAGAGAGCTGCGGTTTTCACCGTTGGATAGAGAACATCAGGGCACATAAGTCTATGTAAAAACCGATGGGTCAATCCATAAAAATACTCGTTAT